CGTGGGTGTGTTGTAGGTGGGGGGCGGGGGGATGTTGTAGGGGGGAGCGGGTGTGCTGTAGTTGGGAGGGGGAACGTTGTAGGCGGGAGCAGGGGGCTCTTCAGGCTTTGTTTCCGGCAGCTTCATCTCTGCGGGAGGAACAGCGAGCGGCGTGGAAACGGTGGGAGCCAGGCCGGCACAGCCACGGTGCTGCCGGCGGGCCCCCCCTGACCCTTACCTTGGTGCAGGACGGGGTGTTCTTGGTCCAACGCTCTCCTCTCGTAGCCGGGCTCTGCGTCTGGCTTGAGGCCGCTATGCTCGTATGGCTGGTAGCCCTGGGGCTCGCTCGTGTGGCTGTTGGTGTCGATGCCATCTTCAAAGCCAGGGGGAAAAAAGCAGGAAATAAGTCAGGCGTTACCGGTTTATTTGGAGAAGAGGACAGACAAGGCGGGAGGGGAACTTGGCGGGCATCAGCAGCCCCGCAGGGACGATCAGAACCAGTGCGGGACGAGGGATCCGGCATCCCGCTCGTGGGGTCACCCTGAATTCGCCGAGGGGATCCCCGGCACGGCGACCAGCGAGTCCGCGCCCCGATGGGCACCTGCGGCAGAAGGGTTTGGTTTTTAAACTTGAAGCACTCGGCAAGAGCAGCGCGAGGGGAAACGGCCGCCGGCACAGGAATGGTGGCGACAACGGAGAGCTGCTCCCCGCATTGGGCACGCCAGCCCCCCGTCGGCTCCTTACCCCCCTGACCCACAGCTGTGGCAGCAAAGCCTCCCCCTGAGCTCCCTGAACCGCTTTAGGGGCAACAGCACGCTCGGGGGCAGATGAAACCCACCTAGGGTCACCCCTAGATCAGAACTGGCAGGGGCGGGGGGGGACGACGATGCTGGGATGTGGCTCAGCCCCACACTGATGGGGGGGTCCTGCTTGGCCCCAGCAGCTCTCAGGGAAGCGAAGCCGCTGTCAGGGGTGCCCAGAGCGTGGGGGGAGGCAACTGGGGACCCTGGAGGAACCCAAAACCCGGAGGGGGACCCCTGCGTGAGGAGGCGAGAAGGTGGGGGGGAACTGGGGGGACAGGCCCCCTCAGGGAGAGGGAAGTAGAAGGACCCCACCTGAAAGAAGTGGGAGGGGGACGAGGTAATCGGGCCCCTGAGGGAACGGAGGGACCGGCATCGGGGAAAGGGGCACAGGGCCCCTCAGGGAAGGGGGGATCGGGGGGACTGGGGAGGCACAGGGCCCCTCAGGGAAGGGGGGACTGGGGAGTCGGGCCCCTCAGGGAAGGGGGGCCGGGCCCGTGGAGGAGGGGGCGAGCCCAGCCCCGCCGGGGGCCACCGGAGAGGGAGCAGGGAGGGGGCCCGACCCGACCCGTCCCTCAGCGCGGGGCCCCGGGCACCCCACGGCCCTTACAGTGTCCGTCGGGGGCCGGGTCCCCGCCGGCTGCACCGGGCCCCCGCCGGGCATCCTCCGCCTCCAGAGCCGCCTGCAACCGTTCGGCCAGCTCGGCCTTGAGGCCACGGGTGTCCAGGCCGCGGCGGCCCAGCTCCTCCTTCAGCTCGTTGACCCGCAGCCGCCGCACGTCCATGGCCCCGTCGCTCAACGCCGCCGCGGCCCGGCCATCGAGGCGCCACCGACGGGCCCGGCTCAAAATGGCCGCCATCGCCCTCCTCCCCTCCCCGGCCCGCGCCGCTCTGCAAGACGCGCCGCCATTGGTCCGTCGCTGTCCCGCCGCTTGTAACGCGCCTCTCTATTGGGCAGCACGCTGTCCCCGCCCCTCCGCGCCGGCCCCGCCTCTCTCGCCCAGCTCCCGCTCAGTCCCACTTTGCAAAACGGGCGCTCATTGGGCCGCAGTGGGAGTTGCGCTGTAACGCGGCTTTTCATTGGCTGGAAGGACGTTTATCTCCTCCCCCTGGGCCGCTGGGGCCAGCCCCCGGGAGCCGTCTTGATTGACACAAGGAGAGGGCGGGCTCACGCGGCCTTCTAGCCAATAGCGGCGAGAGCGACCACGCGCCCTGCCTGCACTTCCATTGGCTGGCTTCCCTGCCTGTCAGGGTAGGGGCGAGCCCACAGGGAAGGCGCTCACTTCCCACTGGCTGCTTTCGCACGGAGGGCGGGGCGACCCCAGCCCGGCTCTCATTGGCGGGCCGGGAGCCGTGCTGCCGCCCCCCATTGGCGGAGCCGCGGGCGGGCTGGGGCGGGCGCGACACCATTGGGGGAACCCCGGCGGCGTCTACGCGTGCTACCGCCCCGCGCTGCCTAGCAACGAGAGCCGACCTTCTATTGGCTGGCGGGCGGGAAGCGCCGCATTCCCATTGGCCGAATCCCGGGCGCTTTGGGCCCAAACCCCAAATCC